ATTTAGGAAACGTTTTGTTGTTTTCGACAAGTTAAAAAGCCGTTTTCCTGTAATTTTCTCGACTCCACTCGTAGAATATCGATCCTCGGGAAATAATCGATAAAATTAATTGAAGCTTATCAGTTAATGATACCCTGGAAAAATCGGTAAAGTTATTCAGGCGATTACTGTTGTAAATCGAAAGGAATCGGTACGATAAACCACTCGAACAATCGTTCATACCAGATGTCATGTCAGTATCGACATGTATCGGTGAAAATTAAAACTAGAATAAAGATTAGTTTCGATTTTAATCGATTATTGATTATGTAATTGTGATGTTGAAGACGTAAAAAGGCTATGAATTTATTAGCTATATTATGACGTTCGCGATGGTCTACCCTGGTTCATGAGGTTTTCTCTGTATATTCTTCGTAATTTTGCTTTTCCTTTTTGATAGTTTAAAGCAAAAACAACAACAACAAAACAACAAACAAAAAAAGAGAAAAAGAGAAAACGAAAAATATGTCCGCCTAGAAATGAAAAGAAAACCGCTGGATCACGAGTAACGGTGGTCAAAATGCTCTCGGAATCTCTGGACCATAAAACGGACAGATTAAGACTCAAAGAAAAGTAACATGACAAGAGCTTTATAAAAAAGAATCGTTTATTAAGCTCTCAATAACGTCTTTCAATCTGCACGTAGCGCTTTGAATTTTTAAAATAGCCGAAGTGACTGAATTTATAGTGTAGGAAGTGATCAATGGAAAGAAGCAAAAAGCGTGAGAGATTTGAAGTGAGTTTTGGTTTTTAATCAATCAAGTAAGATTCAAATGCGATCAAGTGCGATGGGCGGCCATGTTGGTCTCGTTGAACAACTAAATGTGTACATTGCGTGATGTGGACTGAAGGCAAACATTTACGGATAAACTGGTATGGAAAATCACTGGCAAAAGATTCAAAAGCACAGCAATAACATCAATAAATAAGACAGATAAATTTACCAAGGTTCGCCCAAGTAAGTCTAACAACAATAACAACAACGACAGCTTCAGCAACAACAACAACATTAAGGATGGCGACATGAATTTAGCAAGATTCGCCCAAGACTAACAGACAACAACACCAATAACGACAGCTTCGAGCAACAACAAAAACATCAAGGATGGCGCTTAGAAATACAAGGGCGAAGAAAATGTCATTTTAATTTTGCTACCAAATTACAATTAAGCCAAAAATATTGTGTCAAAAAAGTTTGTTCAATGAAAAGTCAACACCACTTGTCCTTGAAGTTGTTTACATGACTTATAAAAGTGTGCAAGCACTTTAACAAGAAGCTACTGAAGGCTTTCTGTCATAATTCTTAACCTGATTCTTTTGTGTACTCGTGTTGTTTGTCACATTGATATTTGACTAAGAGAACATCTTGTTTCGTTCCAAGTACTCTTTTCTAAAAAAAGTTTCAGCCAATGCATGCAATTTAGTAGTTTTCACTGCTCTTCTATAGACTCGTTAACACTGGCGATTTTTGCGGCGATTTTTTGGTCATTTTGATTCTAGAGAATAATGGTAAAGAATTAACTTGTAAACTTTTATTCAGTATACTGAAATGAGCTAACGGACCGTCTCAGAAGGACAAGACAAAATCCATTTTATTTTTAAAAATCGCCCCCAAAAATTGCAGCAAAAGTCGTCAGGTAAACGGGGCTTATCATTCGCCAGGGATAAAACTCTAGATTAAAAGTGCACTAAAACGTTTTTATCACCCAAGGTATTGAAAATGAAGTATGTTCTGAAATAATTGAATACCATATATTCAGTCCCAACGCGATTTACAGCAACGTCGCAGCTGGTTTCTAAGTTTAGCCATCACTGCCGTGCGAAGGTCTTTCATTCGCCAGAGATAAAACAATGGATTCAAAGATGAGTTTAATGTTATCAAAAACCCAAAATATTGCGAATAAACAATTTTATAAGGCATTGGTCCTACGGCTATTGTTACTGATAGCCCAACAATTGGTAGATACACTAGTAGATTCAGTGCTAGTATTATAACCATTGTCCTTAAAGAGTGACGATACTTTACGATATTAAAGTCAGTTTGACGACCAATGTTTGGCTGCCCTGACGKGACGCTTGTTGAGATTTTTTTCAATGAATGAAAAGCCGCAGAGWAAGACAAGATAATTGCGAATAAAATGATCGCGCCGACAGTCGCAAGGACGGCATATCGTTCGCTATGATTGAGCAATTCAACTCCYGTAACAGTTGTTGAAGCTACGAAGARCAAAAGTGCAATACWAAARATCACCGTACGTCTTTTGGTAACTATCAGTTTGTACTTGTTCATTGTTGTAACAGCTAAACATCTATCAATGCTCATAGCWGCRAGAATGATAAAAGATGTRAGCCCAATGGTGTAGCCAGCTCTTGTCATYACCACCCAAAGCACACAGAATGCATCAGACCAGTTGTAGAATGCCGAAATGTAATAAAATGCAGCTACAGGTTGTGCCAGTARACCTACTAATAAGTCCATTAATGCCAGAGAGCAGAGGAGAATCCTTGATGGAGAATGCAGCGAAGGAGTTTTGAAGATAGTTACYATGARAAGAAGATTGAGAYAAAATGCCGAAATGCCTGTWATYAAGTGAAYAATGACCACAGGGATGAAGAACTTAGTTTTGTACTCGGTCATGTTGTATGTCTTTGCATTGCAAGCTTGTAGAATCATTGTTCTCGTGTCTTGATAGATATCTGCTCTCGTTTTCACCAAAAAAGGATTCGTCTGTGATTTGTTGAGATTACAGGAGCTTGTTGGTGTATGTATACTGGACTGTACTCGAATCTTAATCAAACAAGACACATATAGCTTTAAACCAACACACCTTGAGATGCATTGTTTTTCTGTTTTTGTAACTTTTACAGGGCTGGCTCAATCCATTTTCGAGTCGCTAAGGACTCTTTAAAATGTCATGCAGTTAAGTCTAGTTTTTTGAGTTGTTATGCATTTCTATTATTCTAAATCCTTGAGAAAATTGATAATGATACAAAATCGATAAATGCTTGTCGCCGAATCTATCAAATGCTTCCTAACGTCAACTTGTTGAAGAATTATAGCGCGAATGGCTTTGTATTATAGTATTATATTGTTTTATGAATAGATGATTTCATAGGAAGTTCACTACTTCTTAGAGTTGAGTACAATCAATTTAAAGAGACACTGTTAATGGTAATTGAGATAATTCCTGGAAGACGCAAACAGAACGTCATCTCTGAACTAATTACAATCTGTAGAATAAAAATAAGTATGTAAGTGCTTGCTGTAAGGAAGGATTTTTAATGTATTCTTAAGAAATTGAAATGTCAATTTTTTCCTTTATGCACTTCTTTCCAATGTATATAAWTGCATTTTTTATAATCCATCATTTCATACGGGCATTCTTTAATCGCAAAGTGGTTAACCCAGCGAATATTGCCTTTTAAGTCTGCGTTCACATGAAGTCGAAACTGTTTCGCGTCTTCTTGTTTTGAAACGAAATCATTAGCGATCTTATTCATATTATTTCAATAACATTGCTAATTGTCATCATTTCTACCCTACTTGACCTTCTGGATGTGACGTTGTTCCTCCGATTTGTTTCTTAACTTTTCTTGGTATAGCCAAGTACTTAATTAACAACGAAGACTGAACTCCCTTTTCTCTTTGACAAAGGAGCTGCGGCCATTTTCTTACAACAATGATATCTGTTTGCAGCAAAATGGTATTCAATATTACCGAGTACACTGCCGAGTTATTTACTCCTTTGGTGGCATATCTRTTTGTAACAACATTACCAGTCCTCTTTCTTAACCTAGCGATCGCTTACAGTATCWTTACTACCACTTCACTTCAAACGCCTTCCAGAATGTTGCTTTGCTCGCTTGCCTTTACTGATTTTTGTATCGGGKTTGTAGTCCAGCCTGTTTCCGCTTTCTTCTTCATTTCAGCATTCAACCGATGGTACGATGGATTCTGCCTCTGTTGGTTCTTTATGACTCGAATAGCATACTCAATCGCTGTTGTCGCATTTATGATTTTAACAGCAATGAGCGTGGATCGTTGTCTAGCTGTGCGAACAAAGGAGAARTATAAAAACATCGTCACAAAGAGAAGAACYACTCGCCTWATTGTATTCTCATGGTGTTTTGGCTTTGCAGGGACTATCACTTTACTTCAATTTTTAAACGCTTCTCAGATTTCAYRGATTCTTTCGGGATTCATGGSAACTCTTTTCCTRGTTATTATAACGTCATTTCTTTTGGCTTATCGTTCTTTAAAACGCRTATTAACGCATGCAGTTCATYCATCCAGTYCCCCAACRAACCCGCCATCAAGTSCTTTTAACGTTCTTAAATACKAGCGCTCTTTAAACACTATTGCGTTGATRTTTTTGATCAACATACTGGTGTATACTCCAACGTTTGGTATTATTTTAATGGAGCAAATCTTRCCCTTGTCCAGGAATTATAAATTGGTTGTCTACCAATACAACGGTGTCTTACTGGGTTTYAATTCACTTGTTAACCCGYTTTTTTATATGTGGCGAATGAAAGATTTGAGACAGGCTGTCAAGACTAAGTTTTCATTTTTAATTCCATGTAAAGAATAGTTTAAGTGCRAGCTAGAGTGAGAACATTAAACCCGTGAAACAAAAACTAACGTTTTGTGTGTGTCTTGTTGTTGTTGTGGTTGTGTTGCTGTTTCATCGCACCAATATTGAATTGTGTTGAAGGGCCACGCTCAACTGGCATTCAATGCGGTTCTGTTTTAGATTTTCATATCCGTTTCCATCCGTCGATTTTAAGGTCAAATCTTACAATATCTCCATTCATATAGCATAAAGGGATAATAAAGAGTAAGTTTTTACATTATTACGGTGTATTTTTATTTTCAAATATACGCAAAAGCTCGTAAAGAATGACGACTGACTATAGTTAATGTTTTTGTAATTGTTTTTCTTTTGTAGATATACCARCAGATTCGCAGTCTCTACAGTTGCTTCAAGTATTCAGGTCTTACTGTGACCAACAGAATCGATCACAAGTCATCGCTTCCCTGCTAGCGCTTCCTATGAACAAACTAATCTCTCTCYACACTGCCAAAGGAYCAAAGGAGGCTACAGTCTTTTATCAGACTTTGTTGGTATTATTGGACGGTTATCACAAACCACACGTGACATCCACAGCCAATAACGAATCGAAAAGTACCAAAAGATCAACCAATCAGGCTTCAGATCTTAGTCACGTGATTTCAACAGCTTACGATGATTCTGCATTATCAAATGACAGCTTTGCGCGTTTGATGGAACTAGCAATGGTGATTTCGTCGACTGAGCTCGATAGAGTAATCCATAAGCTGATTCAGTCGTCTCCGCGGCTGTTGAHTCTTGTCAAATCAACTTTCTTAGACTATTGCCTTGACAACGCCASCTATGAACGTGTCTCCATYGCAACTACCATGATATCTGCAAGTGTTCCGCTACGAAAACATTTTGAAAGACGCTGTTCAAAGAGTAAAGATAAAACTTTTGTCTCTCTGAAGATGGAACACCTTGTTGACTTCCTTCCTGTCATGAAGTCTTATGTGAATTACGCTTTGAATGTTCGAGGTAAGTCTCCATTTACGATTCACCACGACAGTTTAACGAATGATTTACGAAGATGTACCGACAAACATGACGATGGTCTCCGACAATCGATAACTTGACGAAAACTGTCCGGAATCTTACCGGAATTATCCCGATTGTTATCAAGCGTTTTTTATTCTGTTATTTCAGACAACGTAAAGGAAAATAAAGCAATGGATTTTATTTGTAAAAAATACTGGCCGTTTTTATGGGGATGGCTTCTGGAAAACGGAGAGCGAGATTGCAGTGAGGTGAGTTTGCAGCTGTGTCCAATTTAGACAATTTTCGTAACGTGAAACATTGACGCTGTTTTTTYTCTTCAGGCTGTCAACTGTGATGTTTTGGAACTTTTGATTCGTTGGAAGGAAAGTGGTAAATAGTAGTTTTATTTCACACAGAAATGATTGTTCAGAATCWGATTAAAACTCGGCTATGCCTTTTTTTTCGTTTTTTTTTTCATCCTCATTGAATATTAGATGTAAGTTTGTTTCTTTTTTTTCGTCTTAATATATTTATTAGTACATTACTACATGTATTAGATGTAAGTTATTTACTAATGATTTTCTTTACATCTTGCTCAGTTCCAAACATTTTTCGGCAAGCTTCCCAAATTTTCAATATTAGACGTATAAGTGCTTGCACTGATCAAACACTCTTGCTTCATAATCTATACAGTCATCATAATCATCATCATTATTATTAATATATTATTAATCTTAAATATTTGTTTAATCAGATACTAATAGTCTTAGAGACAAGCTTATGTCCCTCATCAATATGGCTCCCGAGCAAGTATTGGATCTTTATCAAATATCAGTCGTACAAACGATACTTAGTTACCTACCAGAGAACAATGACACCAGATTGTTAGTTTGGAGTGCATTATCAGCTTGTATGAACAGTGTATCGAAAACCTTCAGCCGCGAATCAGGTAAAAACATGATAATAGAAAGTTGCCTGTTTCAAAAACGTGATATTATCGAAGCTATTCCAAAGGGGATTTTGAGCAGTTGGAAATAATATCTCATATATACATTGCTGCATTTCGTTCTTGAAGAGGAGGCATGATTATTAAGTGCAGATAGTGTATGGGTACTGGCAGCCTCCTCCCGAGGCAACTCTTTTTTTCCTCCTTTGGGCTTCCTTTGTAACAGTCATCTTGGCCGCTAGGGACTAGTGACTCCCAAAAAAGACAGGAATCCCGTGATTCTTTGTGATGCCTGTGGAGGAGGCTAGGGTACTGCATTGCTGTTCTACACAATGGTATACCAACCCTGCCTTTGTCTTCTCATTCTTCCTTTCGGTCTTATCTTTGATGATGCTGAACCCGAAAATGCTTTGTTATTTTAGGTTCTTGGTTATAAAAGTGCTTAAGTAATTAATGCTGAAAATATTCTGTAATCGGAAAATTAACTTCTCAATTTTCAGGTAGTGGCTCAACAGTTGAAAAGACTCTAGAGAAACTCGATGAATTCATACTCACGAATAAGGTACCCGAAAGTTACTACATGCACTTAATCTTGAAAAGGTTTCCTAGAGAGAATAGACTTCTGAACCTTTTACGTCGCTACTTGATTTTCAATGCATTGTGGGATCAGTTTCAAGAGAAAACAAAAGAAATTTGTCCCAAACATGTCCTACAATGCATTGCGTATACGGTWCATGACGTAAAAGCTGCAGAGGTCTATTCCGCATTAGAACAGATKTTGATGTAATTTGTACTGAAATAAGTAGACTAAAATGCAAAGCTTTGTTTCCAGGAYCTGTTAGTTAAAAGTGTSAAAGGTTCAGGAATTGAAGCTGATGTTTGGATTTCCTTTGTTAAAAGCTGTTTAAAGTAAGTGAAGTAAGAGAGGAGAAGGAAAGTAAGTWTGTACGCGGTTGAATGGAAGGAACGGATGGATAAACTAAYTGAATGAAAATGGGATGGATAAKTTAATGGATGGAGGGATGGATAATGAGAAATGGAKCGGAGATTTCACATTTGGTTTATTMTTTTCAGATACAACTTTGGCTCCTTGACGACCTTTAAGTGCATGTCAGCCTGTATTAAYCTGCTGTACACATCGARTCGTCGCAAGTCTCTWACAACAYCGTTTCCTCTGACCATGGTTTATGAGCTTGTTTTAACGCATTCTAAATTTTTGGAAGTGATTATGAATGAGAACAAGAACTACAATGAGCAGAAAGGTATTATGGTATTGACGAAAAGAAAGGGAAAAATAAAATAAAAAGATTTTAATATCGTTTTCTTACGTTTTTTTCCATACTGTTCACAATTTTCAGAAGCTGTGCTTGGTCTAGTTGTAACCATCGCTGAAATGACTCCAGATTGCTGTCAGCAAACTCACCTGCCGGTTTTCTTCGCAGCCTATTCGGCAACTCTAAGTAAAGGCGGTAAGTCTTAATAAAAGAGTAACAAAATTGAAGAAAGATATGTGAACTTCATTGCTTCATTTCTTCTTGGTCGCCGCGCGCGCGCCATCATTTTTGGCGGGAAAACGCAGTGTCTTACTTAGTCTCCCTCTACCCTGAATTTTAAGTAAAATTGTTGATGCAAAGTTTTTCCATCCACAGATCAACAAATATTGTATTTACTGCATCTGTATGAGAGAGCACAAGTGTCCTTGTCCTCGCATAGGTTAGCATATTAATCTGTCATTTATTTATTTCMTCGTTTTCTTAGATAAGGTTTAAATGRGATTTATCCTGTTCTAAATTTACACGTTTTTAGGCCATATTTGTGGGGCAAGGCCGCGCTCGAACAACACAAAGTGAGAAAGATGCAAGGGCCTTCTCTCTGGCAACAGCCAAGCACCAGTGAGGTGTTAGAAATGCTTGATGAAGCAGAGCTGCATCGCTCCGCGCGGGAATTCCAGCTTGACAGGAAACTACGGGTAAAAAACATCCCAAACAACTCCAAAAATGTTTAGTACAGTTTTCTTACGGACTAATTTAAATATTATTTTGCTAACTTTGCTGTAGAAAAGCTTCTTAATTCATATCACACCAAAGAAGCTTTGAAAGAAAATAGTCTGCCATTTTTAGTTGTGTTTGTTTGTTTCTGTGCGTTTGTTTTATTGTTTTTTATCGTCAGTTTCTAACTGTTTTCTTCATTGTTTCTATTTGTTTACATGGTTTAATAAGCTTAGGTTTTTTGTTCGTGATATAGACTTCATGGATAACGGGTCGTCATTTTTTTTTCAGCCTCGTGTGCAGCCAGACGTCGACTGCTTGTCATACGACCCTTGTTTCATGTTACCACTTTTTTGCCATCTTCTCTCTCCCAGTAAGTAAAGTAGAGAAATTATTGGCCGTTTAAGATTGCACGTTAGAATTTATGGTATAGTTTTAATAGATTTTCAAGAGTGAAACCTTTTCATTCTTTAGTTAATGTTGATTTATTGTATTGATGTGCCAAGACATTGTCTCGACATTGACAAAARTAATTCTAAATACACACCATTATCCATTAACAGACACTGAAGTCGACTGCCGCAAGTTTGTTGAACGAGGGGGACTGGGGTATAGTGTGGCTGCTTTGTCGTCACGAGATGATCACATYCGCAAAGCTGCAGGTCACGTGCTGTCCAGGTTTCTCACTCACTTGGAAGCGGCAAGTTTTCGAGAAAAGAAACAGGTCAGTGAATGAGAAATTGAAAAAGAAATGAAATGAAATCGGGAAAGGAGGGTTGAAAAGAAGGGAGGAAGGCTATATCAATATAACTTTTAAAAATTTCATCATAAATTTCATGATAAAGCCCACTTAAATGATAATGATGATAATGATAATCAATAATAATGATTATAATAACAAACATTAGAAATTGACATGCAGCCATGCTTCTCTAGGTACTACTCCTACTCGTCTCCTTGAAAAATGGCATAAGTGACGTCAACTCACGTGTCTCCAGCGTGATCACGAGGTTTATATCACGTGCTGTGCACGTGATGCTGCGTCCAGGTAGATCTAAAGTAGTCAGTTTGGTGAAAGAAGGCAATAAATTCATATTCTGTTTATCTTATTTCTTMCAGAGCATCAAATGTACTTTATATTGAATAGCTTTCTACTTCAGCGTGCTGCAATGGATCTCCGTGAGGTCCCTCTCTTTTACACACTATTTAACTCGAGTAGTTTACAGGTAACGAAACTTTCACTTTAGCGTTGCCTATMGRCTTTCCCTGGCTTACTGAGTGGCTTGATTTCTCTTACAAKTCTAGTTGTTTGTAGATAYCTAAAGCTCAGTTCATACATGGTGCTAATRGTCGTGCGATGGTTTGGCACATGAATAGTACGACGTTTGAATCAGTTCGGCAGCACTGAAGTAGGTCCCACAKGGCACTCAGTAGCGTTCTGCTTTTTCATTGGAGTACGGAAATATCTCGAGACGGATTCAAACGTCGATTTCTCATGTGTCGTACTATATAAAGTATTGATCGTGGTAAATTAGTCTGTTATAATGGAAGGTTGTCCTTCTGTCAATAATTCCTACACTATGCTAATCAACTCGTATTTTATTTCAGTATCGCAACGAAAGAGTCTGGATTCTTGAGCTTATGCTAGAAGGATTGCGTGACGCTCAGGACTATTACGTATACAAGAAACGTCACGTCATGGAGCTGGTCATGAGCTTTCATGATTCGCAGATGAGCGATCCACAGTCACGGGTGCGTCATTTTGTTGTTGATG